GACAGTATGTGTCTTCGTTGTGGGGGGGGGGCTAACGTCCGGTTGTCTCGGTAGGTCACCACACGGTGTACATCGGCGTGCACGTCCCCAAGAGTTACCACCGCCGCAGACGCCACCGCCGCAAGTCCAGCCACAAAGAAAGGCGCGAGCGCGCCGATCACGGCGCCGAGGGCTACAAGTCGGACGGCGAAAACGCCGACGACGCCGCCGCCAGTCTCCTCAAGCCGCTCAGTGAGTCGCACTTGGCTCTTGCCTCGTCATCAAATCCTGGCTTTTTTTCAGAGGAGTTGGGGACGGCGGGGCCCAATGAAATCACGCATGTCATGAAAATGTTCGGGATCGCCCGCATAGGTGGCGCCCCCCTCTGTGGAAGCCGACACCGGTGATAATCTCAGATATGGATTTCTTTTGGCTTGTGTTGTTATTTTGAAAGCAACCTTTTTCAGGAAATGGCATGCTGCGGTTGTGAGGTGCTCAAGTGCTGGGTCGTTGCCACGGTATCCAAACAACTGTGATAGCATCTGCATGGCAGGAAGCGTGTGTACTTTCGGGCCACTGAATATGCAGGAAGTGTTTCTTTAAAAAAAACAAAAAAATTCTCTTTGGCAATCTTTCTTTTAAACGTGCCCCAACTGTTTGTCCAGTCGGACAAGTAAGGCTAACATTAGGGATTCGCCAATCCAATGTTTTTTGTTTTGAACGGACTCATGCACCGGCCTGCATTCCACGAGCAAAACGATGTCGCCGCTGGCGAAAATAAGAACCAAACTTGACCGAGACGTATCTTCCCCGACTGCTAAGGAGCTCAACTCCAAAGATGGCGCGCGGCTCTTCCGACGCGTCACGAAAGCTGTTCCGAAAGAGCACACGAAGCGCTCCCAGTCAACCATTGGAGCGAGTTTGTCGCGTCAGATGACTTGCACAAACATGCTCGGTGTTGACTTCAGCTTTAAAATCCCCCGGGAGGTGCTGCGACGATAGTCTGGCATTGCCAGCCCCCTCCTTTGCGTTCATTTGAAATTGGGGTTAGCGTTTATTTTTTGGGACCCGCTTCATGAGATGGACCGGATGCGTCTCGGTGGCGACCGGCTGCGCTTTGCTTTGCGGCTTTCTTTTGCGTTCTCGTCCTTCGAAAGCCACGCCTCGCGGGCTCTGCTCTCTGGTTTGGTGCCTTCAAAAGGTCCTTTGCTCTCCCAGCGCGAGGAAACGTACCCGGTGGAACAGGCTGGAGTTGTCCCCTTCTTAGTTAATCTCTGAGGGAAGCTTGCCCCTTGCGTGACATCGACCTTTTTTTATTTCTGACACGGGTGCCGTGTTTTACTGCGGCCGGCCCCGCTAAATTAAGCTGGAGTGTCGTGAGTTGGGATTAGACGCTCAATTGGGAGCCTCTCGCGACTCGGTCGTTGCGTAACGTTGCGGGTAGAGCGGCTCCTTGGGCTAATCCCCGCGGTGCCGCTCACCCAACCGGTTTGCGCTCATGCGCGAAGGACAAAAGCCGGCGGCACGTGACCGAGAGTGTTCGTCAACCGTCGGTCTGACGTGAGCCGCGGGTGACGCGCTCAAGTCAACGTTGGGCGCTTCCTTGGAGCGGGGGCGTGTCCAACGAGGGGAGCGTGCGATTCTTGGCTCGGGCTTGCCAAAAGGGCCGGTCGCTGGATTTCATGGCGATCGGGCTCAAAATGTGGAAAAGAAGAGCGGGCCATGAAGTCCGTCGTCCCGGTCGCAAGGCCAAGCTCCACCTCGGGAATTTTGCCCTGATGGCGAGAACCCTTTAACTTTGAATCGTTACTCCGTGGGGGGGGG